CTTCCCCCCCTTCGCTCTGCGATTTCCCGCCTATACGGGCACCATTTTGTGATCGCATTTGTGATCGCAAAAACGGCCTCGTAGAGCGAATTCATCGCTCTAAGAGGCGCCCGTTCTGCGAGGCACCACTGTACATACATACATACATACATACATACATACATACATACATACATACATACATACATACATACATACATACATACATTCTTCTTAAAAAGAACCCAATGTTCTCAATATTTAATATACTTTAATGCTCTTTTTCAGTGTGCCTATACTTTGACACACACAAAAAGAACTCTCTCAGGAGAGTGAGTGAGTGAGTGAGTGAGAGAGAGAGAGAGAGAATCTGAGCTAAAATGTTTCATTGGACTTCCAGGCAGAAGGCAAACAGTGACCTGCCCCCTTACCAGTAGGGTGAGACGAATACAGATGTCACACTGTTGTATCACTGCGTTTGAGCCCAGTTTAAATAAGGTGGTTCATACCATGGCACTACCTACCCTTCTTTTTCCGGCAAGAGAGGAGCTGGGCTGTGCTTTGCAGACTCCACAGGACTGAATGGTTTTATGATCCTTCTGTAAAATATGAGGTGGCCGCACATGCTGGTCCTCCTGCTGCTGCTATGGCAAATATTCTCCTCATAACAAGCTTCTTCCTACAAGCCCTTGAAATCCGTGCCTGTCAAGGCTGTACTCAAATGCTTTCTCCAGCATGAGATGAACCAGAGATTCCTCCCCCCTCTGCTCTCCAGGGGCAGAGGTTTTCTCTAGCCCTAGGAAAGAAGCAATTTCNCATTAATTAATTAAATCAATTCTGTCATATTGTGGCCCTTCCCAGGGTTTATTCCGTAAGTTTAAGAAACACATCTGTTCAGACTGCCCCAGAACACACACACACAGACAAAGAGAGAGAGAGAGAAAACAGGTGCTTATCTATATAGTTAAGATGGCTGTACAGCTCAGTGATTCAGGTATCTTGTTGTGGAGCCAAATGTTGTGAGTTCAGTTCCCCACTGTGTATGCCAGAAGAGCCCACTTGCATGGCCTTTGGCAAGCTGCACAGTCCCAGAACAGCCCCAGAAGAAGGGAATGGGAAATTGCTTCTATCAAGGGTTGCTGTAAGTTAGAATTGACTTGATGGTATATTTTTTAAAAAATCTATATATTTTGCTAACAATTTAAGGATTGCTTTTAAATTATCTACTGGTTAGGTGTGGGGCATTTTGGTCCCTGTCCCCCTGTTAAACACTACCAATTTGAGCTCGCTTTATTGTGTTCTTTTTGTTCCAGGGATCTGCATGGCTTATCATGAGAGCAGATTCAACAGCAAGGCTGTGGGGCCGCCAAACAGCGATGGCAGTCGTGACTATGGGATTTTTCAGCTCAACAGCCGCTGGTGGTGTTCCAACGAACAAGGCACAACGGCCAATGGATGCACAAGTTCCTGCAATGGTAGGCAACATGCTAGTACAAGTGACTGAAAAGACTGACAGCCTGTGAACTTTTCCAAACTGGAGTGGCTGAGGAGGATGAAGTTTCTCAATGAAGGTTTCGTTTCTTCTCCCTCCAGTCAACATATTGCCCCCCCCAAAAGGAAAACTAATTCCCACTGTTCTTTGTGTTCCCCATCCTCCATGAGAAAAAACATTCTTTTGCCCTTCTGTTGAAGTAGAGGCAGCAAGCCTGCTTGTCAATGACCTGGTGATCACCTGATGGTTGGATCAGTGAGTGAGTGGTTGGCTGCAGGAATTGAACGCGGGGCTTGCCTTCCCACAGCCAACCTGCTTCTCAATGTCCCACCAATCAAACAGACTGGCTGCAAGAACAGAAACTGGTTCTTTTCCCACAGCCAGTCTTGCTTGTCAATGTCCTGCCGATCAGCTGTTTGACAGGACATTGTAGTTTAACGACAAATTGACAAATATTTGTCGATTTATTGCTAAAATTTGTGCTTTGTCGCTTCAACCAACTTTGATGCATGACAGATTCCAGCGAAGCACCATTTTTTTCTGATTCCTCCCCATTTCTAGAGTTGACTCCACCGTAAGTTCCATGGATTGAAATGGGCTCAGACTAGTTGCAATTTAAGACTGGCCTGCAGTTGCATGCACCCTGGAACTGGAAAGGGAAACCTCTAACCTGAAGCAATTCTTACCACTAGACAGCTAGACGCCATCCAACAGGATTGCAGAGTAGACATCCAATGATGCAATATGCAGGGGTGCTGGCAAGTCTTTGGGTCCAAGTCCCAAGTCTGAGTCAGAATCTTTGATACCAAGTATCAAGTCCCAAGCCCCAAGTCTGACTCTCTATTAAAAACAAGTCACCCCCCCCCAAAAAAAGAGGGAGGGATGGGTGAGTTCCCAGTTGCGAGTCAAGTTTGGATAATTGAAAAAAAACCCTGAGTCAAGTCCAACTTGAGTCACCAGTGCAACTAAGTCGGATTTGACAGCAAGTCCTGCAACTCAAGCCCCCATCACTGGCAATATGATATGACACCGTGATATGACATGATCCAATAAGGTACATGCTATAATACATTAGATTAGGCATCCTTCAGTCTCGAGAGACTATGGTAACATGGTCTGTATAGAGGACTTGGAACAGAATGTAGTGTGGGGGAGAAGGCCAATTCGAGAGTGACCATCCCTTCCACACTGAAGACAAATACAATCTGTCCCCTGTCCAGCTCCCTGATTTTGCTGGTTTCGAGACTGCCTCTTTACCTCAGCCTGCTGGACAAGGGTCTCTTCAAATTGGGAGAGGCCACGATGCAACGCCTGCCTCCAGTCTGAACGCTCAGATGTCGGGGTTTCCCCTGTGTTGAGGTCTATTCCTAAGGCCTTCAGATCCCGCTTGTATATAATACATACATGAGAGTGATTATCTGTTTAAAAATGTGTGTCCCTAACATTTGAGGGAACAATGGTCAAACATCCAAAGAATCCATATTTTTGTTGCGTGGTTGTATTCAATGAAATCTCTCTCCACAGACATAAACTCCTGGCAGTTGAAAACCATCCCAAAAAAGGGAAAGCCTGAAAGAGTTATCTCAATATATGGGCTAGGAATTTGAGCACTTCTGTAGCAGAATATTTATGGCAGTTTTATTTTGAACTTCATGTGCTGTACTTCTACTGTGCGGCTAAAGGCATTTAACAAGAAATTCAAAATTCTGCAGGAATACATGGACAACTTGGTGTGGCCCATATATTTTGGACTACAATTCTCATCATCCCATTGGCCATTCATTATGGGCCAGGAAGAAGGTGTAGCCGAGAACACCTTAGTAGCACTGAGCAAAGGAATGTTGGTTTTCATTCTGCAAAGCCACTATGGGAAGAAACAAATGTTAGAGATAAGTGAGCATTAGACTTGAAAGTACAGTATATCAGTGTTGGAGAGCTGGGATTCAATGAGACTGGGCTTCAATCCTGAAAACCAGTTGTGGGAGGGACGAGGGGAAAGTAAGCTATTTTGTGGGCCCTGGAAGGGTAATATAAGCCCCCAGTGTCCACTCACCCACAGTGTCACGGGCTTTCTGCCCCATGGCCTCATCTGAGTGGGCAATCAGAGAAAGCAGAGGAGGTGTGCTGAAGCCATGAGTGGGCAATCAGAGAAAGCAGAGGAGGTGGGGGAGGGTGAGTGGGCAAGTGGGCAAGTGTGCAGAGGAGGTGGGGGAGGGAAGCATGTGTCACTCACAGAAGACCTGTGTGGGTGCCACACCTAACTGGGCCAAACCACCAAAGCATGGTTCATGCCCAACTTCAGCCAGTACCCTATTGCACAAATGTGGGTAGAATGAACAACACACGAGCATCCCCCTACTCTGGCAGGTTCCCCACAGTGCAACCAGTTGTCTGAACAATTTCACGACCAGCACAATAATTGTGTGATCCTTGCTGCCCTGCCAAGGAACAGGACAACTGGAATTGTTTCCTCAGTCATAGGCTCCCTAGACTTCATAAGGTCTGAGAGGTTCCAATTAGCCTTTATTGGGGCCCAAAGATAAGTTTCATTCCTAGTCTTGGTCCTCTCCTCCCATCAGTACCCATGGGGGCACAGTTCCTTGCACTAGCCTGCCCCCATGTCCTCTGTCCACAGGGGGATTAGAACCCTGTGAAACCCCCCCCCACGCTGTCCATGGGCAGAGGCAAAGCTTTAGCCACTACCCCCTGGCTGTCCAAAGTCTGTGGCTGTGGCTGAGTTTTAGGCACTAGCCCCAGCAACCCAAACTCCTCTTAATGAGGACCGATAATTCCAGGCCAATGGGGGGGTTTCCTACCATGGAGTTGCTCTTCTCTCTCTGGGCCCAGGTAGATAAGTCACTGGTGCTATTGTTGCAGCCTCCAAAGCCTCTTCTGGGTCAACGTTGGCTTTCCTGGGTGAGGCTCTACTGAACAGATTGGCCACCATCACAGAGGTCTAATTGGTGGTGGGAGGTGGATGCTCCACCGTCACAGCCCCTCCTGGGAACAAAGCTGACCCATTCACCTGTCCAGGACCCTTGGATGAGCAAAGGCTGATTCTCCCCAAGGGTGCAAAAAAATTGAAGGCCACTCCTCCCATGCCTCTAACCACCCTTCTAATCCTGAAGCTGATGAGTCTCCCCCTTCCTCCTCTTCTTCCTTTATTCCTGACTCCCACCACCTAGCTTCACCTGACACCTTTCCTTACTGCTGGGACTCCTCTTCCTCCTCCTCACTGCCACCCAGGTATCCTGTCCTTCCTCACCATCCTTTCCTGCCCTTGAGCTGCCCTACGGCACCTGTCCCCAAGTAATCCTCCAGGGGGCATGAGGACAAGGCAGGCAGCCTATTGGGCACAAGAGAAGCATCCCTGTTACAAAGGGGCATAAAAAAGAAGAGTCAGCTGGAAGGGAGGGCAGGACTCACATGATTCTTCCTCCACCAGCTGTTCTGCAATAAGATACTGGCAAATGTCTCTCTCCGCTCTCAGACAATCTCCATACTCTTGCTGGAGCACAAGAGAAGCATCCCTGTTACAAAGGGTCATAAAAAGAAGAGTCGGCTGGAAGGGAGGGCAGGACTCATATGATTCTCCCAAGCATCCCTGTTACAAAGGGGCATAAAAAAGAAGAGTCAGCTGGAAGGGAGGGCAGGACTCACATGATTCTTCCTCCACCAGCTGTTCTGCAATAAGATACTGGCAAATGTCTCTCTCCACTCTCAGATAATCTCCATGCTCTTGCTGAAAGTGGCCTTTTGTACACAGTATAGACAGAAATAAACTGTTTAACAATCCCCACTAACTTCCCTGATTTCTGACAAACTAACGATCCCCACTAACCTTCCTAATTTCTGACAAAACTCTTCATAGCTTTCATAGATGATGACATCACAGATGATATCAACTGCGCAAAGAGAGTTGTCCAAGACCCCAACAGGATGGATGCCTGGTGAGTCCACCTCTCTCTGCTTATAAGATTTACAATGTAGGGAACAGTGCATACACTTGGCTTGAATCATTTACATGTTTATTTGGAAGTAATCTCCAGCAAAATCACCACGGCCCATTCTCAGATATGTATCAGGCCCTGCCTTGGGCTTCACTCTAGTATTGCATCTATCTTTGATGGAAGCTTGGCACAGAGCTTGGAAACATGATTGAAGTAGTAAGGAGGATTTCACTTCTCACTTCCAACTAGCCATTTCAGGAACCCTCTGAGTCTAAGCCATGACCCAGTTAGCTCCCGGCAGTGCTAGCTGAGAGCGCTTTGGGTTATTCTCCCCGCATAGCACAAAGGGGGAGGAGGAATAAAGCCACCCATGTCTCAGGCAGCATGAGGAATCTGTCCCTTGCCCCATTTTAGTTCCCATCCCTCTCTGAAGGGATGCCTCACCTGTGAACATCTTAGGAACTCTCAGAGGTGGTCCACCTAGTGGTTATCAAAGAGGTTCCCATCTACAGGCATTCAGTTGGGTTTGAGTTTGGCCTCATCCAGCATCAACCCTGAAAGGTCTTGCATGGTTTGTAGCCTCCTAAGAATAGCAGGGCATACTTAAATATTAAGACAGAGATGCTTTATTAAAAACAGAGTAATTTTAAAACTTTCTTTTGGTGCCACAAAGCCACACACCCATGCATCCCTGAGTAATCATATGAAAGGTGCTTTTTTCACCTTCTTCATACAGCACACAGCCTCCACAGTTCTTCAGCTTTGTTATAAATATTGTATCTCCATAAGGGATTGGAGAAGGAGGTCTGGTGACTGGTATGCCTCTTGAGTACAGATGGGCATGAACCACAGTTCAGCAGTTTGCACAGTTCAGCTGCACAGCTGTTCCATGGACACCCCCGGCTTCCCTTTGCCCCACCTCCTCCGGCAGGTGCCCACACCAAGGCAGCATGTGGTGTGGCTTCCCAGGTCTGCCCGCTCCTGGCGCTATCTCTGAGTGGGCTCCTGCTGAGTGGGACAATTCAAGGCAAGGAAAGCCTGGGTGCCTGCAGAACAGCTGTCCAGCTGGACAGTCGAACTGTGGTTCATGTCCATCTCTACTTGTGAGCACTTAGAGGCATCCTGTCAGACCCTTAGAGCCAGCTAGCTAGGGATAAGGTGGTGCAGATATTCTTGGGCCCTACTGGATTTATCCCTTCCTTACTTGGTCCAATAGAGGTAGAGAAAAAGGAAGGTCCCCATTTCCTTTGGCCCTTTTGATGGCCAGGTGACAGCAGTTGGCTTAGAAGACTCTCTGAGCCGATGCCTGGTGCTAAAGTGGTCTTGTCCTCTTTGGAGACAAAGATATATATTTATATATTTCAGGTTTTTATCTCCATTGGGTGATCACTGTGGCTCCAGCTGCAAGTTCTCCTTGAATTGGGTGATAAAGATACAGCTCTGTTTGAATTCAGAATGTGTCTTATGCCTTCCTGGCAGGCTGGGTGGAGGTGCAAGTACTGATGGAACTGATTTCCTCCCTCTTCTAAAATGTTCTCATTTTGACTTTCAGGGTAGCATGGGTTAACAATTGCAAAGGGAGAGATCTCTCAAGCTGGACTTCTGACTGCAACCTCTGAATCTGATGGTCTTACATAAAATCCAACATTTCTCCTGCCTCTCCTGTAATGATCATGACAGTTCTCCCTTTATCAGCAGGTTTCAGCCAGGTTATTTCCCCCCCTTCATGTATTTGCATACCACAATCCATGTGGTGAGCAGAATGGTATTCTCCTCATATGTATGGAGTAGGTGGAGATGGGCAATGATCTTGATTGAGCTTGTCTTTTTCTTGGCTGGAAAATCTTCAATAAACTGAGCATAATCAAGTCTTATTTTCTGTCTGATGGGTGATTCAAAGAAGAATGAAGCAAATAAAGGTAGATTACATCAAGCTTTGATCTTCTCCCCAGCTCCTCTGCACCGTTAACGTGGCTATGCAAGACCATCATGCCTGGAACTGGCCTCCAAAAGCCATACTTTCAGCCATTGTGGCACAGCAGCTGAGCAAAGTCCTACCCCCCACCCCAGAGACAGGCTAGGATATCTAAACAAATTTCTGACCCCTTTTTATACAGCAAAGGACCTGTTCCAGACCCTTCTAATCAACATTCAGATTCCTTGCAATGTTCATGAAGGCAAGAGCACTTTCTACCCCTTTCCTATCACACAGCTGTAACCCTCCCTCAGTTTGCATGGCTCCTGGGAGGAAGTAGGCTGGCTTTGATGTCCTCCCTGGCAAGAGGCTGTAGGTATTGTTTTCTCCTTGGTCCATGATAGATGCTGACCCCCACCTTCTCAGCCAGCTTTTCCTAGGCGCTCACATAGAAGCCCAATGTTTCTAGATAGATTCAACATTCCATGTTCCCCCAGTTTCTTGGTTTCTTCACATACATTACCCAATTGAAAGAACTTCTCTGGCTTTCCAATGGGAATCAATCATTTACAGATGGAAACGATTGGTCCTTGGCACTGTTTCTTGTTGAATGAAGCCTGTTTGGTCCCCAAGTGGGATGAGGAGATACTGTACAGTATGTCAAGGAAATCTAGAGAATAGAGCCAGAAAAACACAAGACTTCCGAAGACACTGGAGAGAATCCTTGACATACTGCTCTGATTTGTTTGCTAGCAAACATCTAGCTGTTAACATCACTTGCATCTGGTCCAACCTGAATGCTACAATACAATGGAAACAGTAGATGTCGCTGGAGAACCAACTATTGCAGTGGTTCTTAACCTTTGTTACTCGGATGCTTTTGAACTGCAATTCCCAGAAACCCCACTCAGGACAGCTGGTGGTGAAGGCTTCTGGGAGTTGCAGTCCAAAAACTCCTGAGTAACCCAAGGTTAAGAACCAGTGAACTATTGCATTGATTTGGATGATTTCTCCTGTCATAGCCTGGGAGAAATGATTGGTGGAATGTAGTCTAGCATACATCTTCTTGATCTTTGGGTGAGAACACTTAAATGAGATGATTGGCTCCAGTTCAGAGGTAATTAACACATAATCGCATGAAGAAACAGCAGGCCTGTCCAACTGTCGGGTAAAGTGAAGCAACTGTTCCTTGACAACACTAGTGTAGATGTACAATTCAATGTCACTCCAGTTCACATCTGTCTGAGGAGCAGGGTGGAGCTTGGATCTTGTTGTTTCTCTCAGGGCAGCAACATGTTTTGGGTATGATGAATAACCTTCATCGTCACACCCTAATTCTTCTTTACATCAGCACAGCCAATGGCTCTGGTTGTATTAACACACGCCTGAGTCTTCTCTTTCTCTTTTTGACTTCTAAGCAAGATTCATTAATGCTGGATTTAACTCAAGGGGTCCATGAGTTAGCTGCTGCACTTGTTAAGGCCTCAGGGATCTTTGCTGGGGACATATTGTTTTCCTTAATCTGGACGTTATTAATGCCGATGCAGCTAGAATTGAACAATCACTGCTGATTTAGCTTGTGGTCTAACAACATTGTCTTCTCATGCATAATGCAACCAGATATCACCCAGCTTATATCAGTGTAATTGATTTTTCTGGCTTAAATGCAGAACTTCACTTTCCCTCCTTGCTGAAACTGATTTCCTTTCTTCAGCCTAGTTCTCCAGCCTGTCAAAGTCCTCCTGAATCCTGATTCTGTCATCTGAAAAAAGTTTGGCATCATCTGCAAATTTGAAGAGAATCTCATTTACGTAGACTCAGGACTGAACCGGGAGCACTTTACTTGTCAACTCTCTTCAGGATGACGTGGGAGGGGTTTAGATTCATTAGGCACTGGGGAATATTTTGGGACAAGCCGGGCCTGTACAAGAGGGACGGGCTTCATTTGAACGAACGTAGAACCAGACTGTTGGTGCGTAACATTAAAAAGGTGGCAGAGCAGCTTTTAAACTAAAACCTGGGGGAAAGCTGACAGGAGCCAAGCAGTGTCTGGTTCGGGACCCTTCATCATTCTGAAAAAGGTGGCAGAGCAGCTTTTAAACTAAATCCTGGGGGAAAGCTGACAGGAGCCAAGCGGTGTCTGGTTCGGGACCCTTCATCACTCTGGAATGAGGGTGGAGAGGATAGAGAACCACAAAGTGATGACAATGTAGGAATTAGGACTGGGAGCATGATGGGATGTGGGATGTCCACTGGAAGGGGGATGTCCACTGGAAGGAGAAGCTGTATGTTGATAGTTGGTCCACTAGAAGGAGAAGCTGTATGTTGGGGGGGGGGAGAAACAAACAAGCAACCCTTCTTGGGGGAAAGGTTCATACAGAAACAAACAAGCAGCCCTTCTTGGGGGAAAGGTTCATGCGAATTAGAACATGACTATAAGTGGCATGAGTGACGTGGGGCGATCATCACACACGCTGGTTATATTGCACAAAATAGGTCAGAACAGTGATGTTCATGTGTCACATCAGACGGGAGGGGAATGATGTAACAACATGCAAAACATCACCAGGAAGCACATTTCAGTACCAACTATAAGCAGGAAACCAACATGATGCAAGATAATCCAGACTGTCAATTTCCAAGTAGGACAGTGAGCCAACATTCACGCACCCCATTGCAATCGAGGGGAGAGATGCAACCAGCCATAATATAGCCTCAGGAATCACATTGCAGGGCCTGTTCTGAGTCTCAGTGCCACATTTTGGACAATGCCCATGCCAGCAACCAATTCAACCATCACTTATGACTGGATGGGAGGAATACATTAAACCACCAACCTTCCACAGGAACCACAGTCCATAGACAGAAAACAGGTGGTGGCTGTAGGCTTTCTTCCAGCCTTCCCAGGCCCATCACTTTTGTTTAGCTTGTAGAAGAGAAGACTGAGAGGCCGTGTGCTGTTGTTCTGCACCTTCAAGCTGTTGGTGCTTGGTTTCGTTTGTTTTATGCAAGAGGTGGTTTTCATTCAGCTGTCCTACTCAGAAGAGGTTCTTACCGTGTGTTGTTGTTCTGCGCCTTCAAGCTCTTGGTGCTTGGTTCCGTTTGTCTTGTGCAAGAGATGGTTTTCATTCAGTTGTCCTACTCAGAAGAGGTTCTTCTGAGCTGATTTTTGCCATATTGATTTTCTGCCCAGAACAGGTACTGGAATGTCGTTCCTGGGGGTGTTTGAAGACCGATTGCATTGGTCCCCTCTAGTCCAAGGGGAGAGGTGAATTTCATTGAGCTGCTCTACTCAGAAGTCACCATTCTGACTGTTTTTCACAATACTGAATTTGTGCCCAGAACAGGTACCAAAACATTGTTTCCAGGGTCTTCTTAGGGCTGGCTGGCTTTGTGAATTGCATTGGGATGACTCAGAAAGGACTAATGAAATAATAATTGGGGGGGGGGGTTTGAGATCTAAAATACTCTTCTGATGTTTGTCTGTTAACATCCCACTGTTTGGGGCATCAATTTTTATTAAGGAGTCCACATTCTGCCCCATTCTGTTCCATTCTGGCTTTTACCTAGGCCCTTTTTCATGGATTTAAAACAATTCTCCTCACAAAAATCCCTTTCTTGGCAGAAATTTGCAAAAATTACATATTAAAAGCCCTCCTAAAAGGAAGGTCTTTGCCTGTCAATGGAAGGACTGAAGGGAAGTGGCCAACCTGGTCTCCCGTGGACAGTAGTTCCATAGCCTAGGTGGACAGTAGTTCCATGCCCTAGGGGCAGCTACAAAAAACGTCCTCTCCCATGTCTGTATCAAGCGTGCCTGTGACAGTGGTGGGACTGAGAGAAAGGATTTCCCCAAAGAGCTTTAAGCCCTTGGAGGCTGCTTTAGAGAGATACAGTCCCTCATATAACTTGAACCCAAGTAATAGACAGTCATACTGTGTGTACATGCAGACACACATTCTCCCACTCTCCTGCTAATCCAGCTGCTGGGTCCAAAACTGAGGTGAGCAAATGCTCCAATGCTCTTTCTACACTCCCTGGGAACCATGCTGTCCTGCCCTTCTTCTTCCACCTTGTTTCCTGCTCTGCCTGCGCCTCTTGATTGGGCAAGTCATATTAAGGGGAACAAGGCCTCCACAGAGAATGGAATACCTTTTTTTAAAGATTAATACCTTTCTATGTCTCACACTGAGTCACAAATAGAGATGTGTACTAACTGGGAAAAGTGGCAGTCTGTGGTTCATCGCTACTCACAAACCACGAATCACAAACTTTACCGTTAAACTAAACATGTTGTGGTTCGTACAGTTCAGGACTTCTGAGAGAGGTAGAATGGCCTCACATGAGTTAGAGACACCCAACTCGCAAAGAGTGTTCAGCTGATGCTCTTCCTGACTCCCACCAAGTTTGGCAAATATTAATTTTGGAACATCTGAGTTTTTCAGGCCTTCCCAGGAAAGTGTTCTTGTGTCCCTCTCTAGTCACAAGTGTCTGCATGTGGCAAAACAGTGATCCAGTCAGAAATACTAGGAGGAGACAGACAAGACCACACTTGAGAACTAAAATATAACAGAAGACTGTGGCTTACTCGTTGACATGGAAAATAATCCTCCCTGCTCCAGGCTACCAGGAAAGACCCTGGGCAACATCTTAGCCTTAAAAAGTCAGGAAAAGCCCTAACAGCTGCTTCTTGGAAGTTGCTGGCACTCTGAATGCTTTGCTCTGTTCCAAACTTCAAGCCAAGCTCATTCTGTTCACTTCCAGTTATGTTTGGTCTTTGTTTATGGAGATGGGTGAGATATT